AAAGGAAAAAATGGTAACAAAGTCATAAATAAGGGAGGGGCAAAGAGGAGGGGATGAATGGAGGGCAGGGGTATGGGGAAAAATGAGAACTGAAATCTGTCATGTAAAGATGCAAGATCCAAATGATAAATGTAACTGTACTGTATACTTAAAAAGTACCAATAAGCTCAATGAGAAAAAACAATTACCAATTAAGAAAAAAGCCCAGATCCTCATGGCTTCACTGCTGAATTCTATAAGACATTTAGAGAGGAACTATTGAAACTACAGTTTAAACTCTTCAGTGAAATTGAAAGGAAAGCAATACTCCCAAATTAATTCCTGGAAGGAAGCATCACCTTGGTCTCACTAATGAACATAGGTGCAAAGATCCTGAATAAGATACTGGCAAATAGAATGAAGAAGATCATATACTCTGACCAAGTGGGATTAATCCCAGGGATGCAGGGATGAATCAACATATGCAAATTAATAAATGTAAGACACTATATTAATAGAGCCAAGGAAAAAAATATGATCACCTCAATAGATCCAGAAAAAGCATTTGACAAAATCCAACACGTATTCATTATAAAAACCCTCCAAAGAATTGGAATAGATGGTCTTTACCTCAATCAGATAAAAGCCATGTATGAAAAACCAACAGCCAATATCATACTAAATGGTAAAAAAACTGAAATCCTTCACACTAAAATCAGAAACAATACTCTAGTTTCTCTTCAAATTGTATAAATCTTTTGCCTTTTAAAATCAGGAACAAAACAAGGATGTCCACTAGCACCACTCCTAGTCAATATAGTTTTGTAAACATTATCTGCAGCAATTAGATAATAGAAATAAAAGGAATAAAGATAGGAAATAAAGTCAAATTGTCATTATTTGCAGACAGCATGATACTTTATATAGAAGACCCCAAGTACTCTGCCAAAAGTCTTCTAGACTTAATAACCAAAATCTGCAAAGTCGCTGGATACAAGGTCAACACACAAAAATCAGTAGCTTTCCTGTACACAAATCAGACTCACTGAGAGAGAAGTGGGGCAAACAATTCCTTTCAAAGTAGCATCGAAATAATTGAAACACCTAGGAATTAAGCTAACAAATGAAATCAAAGACCTCTTCTCTGAAAACTACAACACTCTGAAAAAGATGATTGAAGAAGATGTCAGGAAATGAAAAGACATCCCTTGCTCCTGGGTAGGAAGAATCAACATAGTGAAAATGGCCATATTTCCAAAACTGCTGTATAGATTCAATGCAATCCAAATTGAAATTGCAGCAGCATACTTCATAGACCTTGATAAAACAATCAAAAAATTCAGTTGGAGCAAGATGAAACCTAGCTAGAATAGCAAAAGCAATTCTAGGCAATAAAGACAAGTTACGGGGTATCACAATTCCTAACTTGAAACTATACTGCAAAGTTACTGTGATAAAAACAGCATGGTGCTGGCAAAGAAACAGGACCAGTGGAATAGACTAGAAGATGCAAGAACAACTCCAGACACACTCAGTCACCTCACCTTTGACAAAGGAGCCAAATACCCTCTTTAATAAAGAGGAAAGGGCCAGGGATTTATCTAAGTGGTTCTGCCACCTGCCTTGCATGCGCAAAGACCTGAGTTCGATCCCCGGTACCTTAAAAAAAAAAAAAAGGAAAGATAGCCCCTTTAATAAATTGTGCTGGAAAAACTGGGTTTTAACTTGCCAAAGATTAAAACTAGACCTATATCACCATGCACTAAACTAAAACTAAAATGAATTAAAGATCTAAAATATTAAAACAAACACTATCCTTGCTGGAAGAAGGGTTACTTAGAACTCTTGAAGACCTGGTGTAGGAAAAGATTTTATAAACAAAATTTCAGTTGCCCATGACCTAGCACAATCAACAATTGGGATTTCTTATTAAAAAGCTGCTGCATAGCAAGTGAAACAACCAATAGTGTGAAGAGACAACCCATAATGTGGGAAAACTTTTCACCATCTGTTCCTCAGACAAAGGTCTGCTATCTAGAACTTAAAAAAATCAGACCTCTCAAATTTAAAGACCCTAATCCAAAAATGGGCATCTGAAATGAACATTTCTCAGGCAAAGAAGTGGAAATAGCAAATAAACATATGAAAAAATGTTCAACATCACTGGTCATTCGAGAGATGCAAATGAAAACAACATTGAGATTTCACCTCATCCCAGCAAGAGTAGCTGCTATCATGAAATCAACCAATAACAAATGCTGGTGGTGTTGTGGGAAAGAGGAATTCTGCTCCACTGCTGGTGGGAATGCAGCGTGCTGTAACCACTGTGGAAATCAGTATGGAGATACCTCAAAGAACTAGGATTGGAGGTCCTATTTGACCCAGCTATCCCCCTGCTGGGTGTCTTCCCCAAAGAATTAAAAGAATCATACCACAGTGATATATGTGCACCCATGTTCATAGCAGCACAATTCATGATAGCTAGAACTTGGAAGCAGCCCAATTGCCCATCACCTTGAGAGTGGATAAAGAAAATGTTTTTTTTTTTAAATAAAATGGAGTACTAGTCAGCCATAAAGTTAGAGAAACTAGAGACATTTATAGCTAAATGGATGCACATAGATGTGATACTTTTAAGTGAAATACATAGGACACATATGCGCAAGTACTAAATAGTTTCTCTGGTGTGAAAAACTGAAAGTGTAAATAAGGACTAAAAAGTATAATATATAATGTGAAATAGGAAGAAAAGTTGAAAAGGGGAAGGGGAAATGGGAGGGGTAGTGGAAAAGAAAGAAGGGAATAGAATTAATATGAGAAAAAAATAGGAACAGTCTTTGTAGATATGGAGGTGGAGGGTTGAAGGGGGGCATGGGAATGGGGAAAAAATAACAACCAAGATATATTATGTAAAGGTACAAATTACTAATAATGAACATCATCATACTATATACCTTAAATGTACCAATAAAATTAATTTTTAAAAATGATGGAAAAATTAATAGAGAAAATAAAAATAAGAAAAAATTAAATGGAAAAAAGAAAGGTGAGGGGGAAAAGAGGGAAAAGAGAGAGAGAGAGAGAAAAAAAAACAAAAAACAAACATTGAAAAAGGATAAAGGAAAATTCCCCAAGCTCCAATGAATCAGTGAAGAAGAAAGGGGAAAGGAAATAAAACCATTACCCCTTCCCCAGTTTTTTTTTTTTTTTTTTTTTTTTTTACCATGAATCAGACTCAGGACCTTGCACTTGTGAGGCAGGCATGGCACCACTGAACTAAATCTCTGGTACAATTTCTCTGCATTTTAATGAGTTTTTGGGTTTTTTTTGTTTGTTTGTTTCTTGGGATCCACAATTTTGGATTCTAGCAATTCATTGGTTTCTCTAACCTTAAGATCTCTGGTTTTTCAAGTCATGCTCCTCCCCTCCAGAGGCTGTTCTGTTTACCCAGGCTGTGGCAATGGCTAAGCCACAACATGTCCTTGGCATGCTGGTGGGTAAGGAAGGAGGCAGTCAGACCCCAGATCTGTGCTAGATGAAGGTTTTAGGGTAAGAATTTGAGTACAAATCTGACACTTTTAAACCCTGAGCAACTCAAGCTAGGACTGGCATGTGGGGAAGGAGTATCTTTCCCTTTCTGAGCTCAAATCTGCCACCAGGCCTCCTCCTAGCTCCCTCTCTCTGTCTGAAGCTGTCTCCTATGGCCATCTCTCACCCAGTCACTGTGGGAGGGTAATGCTGGAAACCCTGAAGTGAAGCTGTCCTGCAGCTGTTTGCAGTCACAGATTCAAATATTCAGTCCTTTCCTGGAATGGTACCCAACCCTGTATTATCTCCAGGGTATGGTGGGTGCCTTTGCTGGAATTCTTATCAAGCTGTTGTCTGCTTTGTTACAATCCTTTTGATATGCTTTTGGATTTATTTTGTCAGTTCTCTTGCATATTTCTTTATCTATATATTTTTTTAATAGTATTGATCTTTAGTGTTCTTGTCATATTTTGTCTAGCTTGAGTGTCAGTATAATGCTAACTTTTCTTATATCTTTTTTTCGGTACTGGGGATCAAACTCTGGACCTTTGGCTTTCAAGGTATGTGGTGGAACCACTGAACTAAACCTTTGGCCCTATCTTCTATTTTTTGGGAAGAGTCTGAGATGACTTGGTATTCTTTTTTTTTTTTTTTTTTTTTGAAGTAGGGTCTAGGTGTGTTGCCTTATGTCATCCAGGATGGGTTTGAACTCATGATTTTCCTGCCTCAGTTTCCCGAGTAGCTGGGACTATAGGAATGTGCCATAATGCCTGGCTTGATATTTATTTAAGTATTTGGTGGAATTCACCAGTGAACAATTTGATCCTAGCCTTATCTTTTTTGGAAAGTTTTTGATTACCAATCTAATCTCTCTGGTTGTTATAGGCCTACTTTTCTTTTCTTTCTTCTTGAGTCATTTTTGTTTGTTTGTTTTTTTGATGCAAGTCTCCCTTCCTGAACTTGCTATGTAGCCCAGGCTGACCTCAAACTCACAGAAATCCTCCTGCCTCAACCTCTCGAATGTTGGGATTACAGGTGTGTGCCACCACACCGGTCTTCTTGTGTCATTTTTGTTTTGTTTATTTCTAGAAATTTGTTCATTTTATTTAGATTATCCAATTCTGTTCCATTTTGCTTCATAGAGTTTTATTTTTCTTTTGGTATCAGAGTTCGAATTCATAACCTTGTGCTTGCAAGGCAGGCAGCAGTACCACTGAGCTAAACCCTGGCCCTGCTTCATAGAGTTTGAGATTTGGTTTAGTGATAGAACATGTACCCCATATGTGTGTGGCACTGGGATCAGTCCCCATCACACACCCTGACTGAATTGCTTCATATATTTGAGTGTTCTGTTGCTAGGTGTGCACGTTTACAATTCTTATGTCTTCTTGATGAACTGACTCCTTTATCAATATATAATGTCCTAATATGAGCTTTTTGTAAATGGATTTTATGAAATTACTTTGAGAGATATTTCCTTGACTCTTTTGTAGATCACAGTTGGAGATATTGGAACACCCTTTAAAATCCGTATTGGTCATACCAACTGTGGTCCGTCCCCTTCCTGGCACTGTAAGGAGGTAAGGATATATCAATACTTCCTTTTGTATGTGTGCAAAATTTTATGCAAATTTCTCTAAGAACTCAACTCTCAGGGAAATATTTCATGCCTATAGTGAGTTGACAGAGTTAAACCTGGACCTTTTTAATCATTGCATTTCTCAGGGAAGCAACATCATATGCTCTTTTCAATTAAATGGTCCCTAATTAATTGAGAAAGTACCTCAACTTTGGAATCCTTTCACTACTTTGCAAAGAATAGAATTTCTTGGGACTCTGAGTAAACTCAGATAGCTTCTTGCTGTGCTTACACTACAGATGAAAAAAATGGCTAGCTCTATAGCATTTGCTTATAAGTGGTTATAAAGCTACATCATTGTGTTCATGACATAATAATATAATTGACTTGAGTATTAGCAATAGAAATTAGTATGTTCATGATAAGCAAAATAATGCCCCTTTTGTGTTTTTAAGAAGGAAAAAACAGTTGTAAATTTTTTATATTGTTCAGAATAAAAAAATTCTACTTATCATCATTGTGAGTAAATGCACCTCTCCAACACTGGAAATTAATACCTATATCATCCATTTTTTAATATAGTATGTTTAAATCTTCCATTACTTAAAAGGAAATGACGTTTAACTGAACAAATTCTCAAAGTGCAAAGAATATCTAGTCATCTTATTGATATTCTTGGACAAATTTACTCTTTTATAGTTTTATAATATTTTATAAATTTTATAGTTTTATAATATTTGGAAAAATTTGTGGAAGATAAATAATTAAAAATAGATATTAAATTTTCATTAGTGGGAATGAGTAGTAGTTAAGAATGATATTTTCTTTACATTAAGCCCAAAACATCCAGAAGCAAAATAAAAAAATAAAATTGTGAAAATACAGTATGGAGATGTTAAATTTTAAAATTCAAAATTATTTCCTGGCTTTTTTATGAAATAATGTTCTTTTTTATGCCATATAGAGCTTTTCAGACATGACAATATAATTGATACATAAGTGATTATACAATAATCTCTTTTGTCTTTTTATCTCTTACTAGTTTATAAAAATGATTAATGCTCCTGGTTTCTCATTTGATTGATATCCATAAGCAATATTACATTCATTATTAAGATGAGATGCTGAGACAGCTGTTAAGTGATTTGAAAAGACTATGTACTGATATAATAATCAGACTGCAAATTACTATTGTCTTTCTATCTGTGGCAAGTACTTTTTCATTGCATGGCAAGTTGTTTCTCTGTCATTGACTTCACCTCTGTTCGAATGCTAGTGAAAGAGATACGGTTTGTGTGTATTTTTTTAGGGTGCTAGGATTGAACCCAGGGCCTCATGCATGCTAAGTATGCACTCTACCATTGCTAGAACCCAAGCCCTGAGACACATTCTGAGTAAATCCCTTACATAATTTATCCAGTTGGCCCAATTAAGATGCTAGATAATGAGTTGGGAAATATTTTGTTCAGTTGTCATAATATGGTTTAGAAGTTTGAAATTTTAAGTAAGTTGAAATTTTAAGTAAGACAACATGTACACTGGCTCCATACACAGTAGCAACAACAAGAAAACTGTTGTATAAAATAATCACATTATTTTTAAGAACTAAATCTTAATTCTTTAAAGTTTAGTTGGGGAATATTTAAAAGTCAGAAGCTTAAAATGCTAGTTTATATTCTACTTCTCATATGATTAGCCTTGGACTTAATAAAAAATAGTCAAATCAGGTAGTCATAGCAATAGCAGCTAATGATTACTCTCTGTAGTTCTCAATGAGCTTTGTTAAAAATGACATTGCATCAGAAGCATACTTGACAGGGATTTTCTTTTCTTTTCTTTTTTTTTTGGTACCAGGGTGGAATTTAGGACCTCGTACTTGCGAGGCAAGTAAAATACCCCTGAGCTAAATCCCTGGCCCTTGACAGGATTTTCTGGATTCCTGGACCTAAAACCTACAAACTTTAGTAGGTTTTGTTACTGAAACATAACTTTTAACACTATAATTTCTTAAACACATTAAAGTAAAAAATCTCTGATTTAAAACATGTTAACAAAATCAAAGCTAATTTAGTGGATAAAATAACACTTCACTGAAGCTTTTAAAAGAAATAGTACTCTCCTTATAAAATGTCATTTCTACTTTTAAGTAAGTTTTGACTTTTAAAAATATTGACTAGAATTTAAAAACATTCTTATTTAACTCCAAAATAAATGGATTAAGTATAGCATGGTACAGTAGGTTTCCAAATAAATAATTATTGTTTGCTAAGTACTCTAAGTATCTGAGAAATGTGTCAGTTTAAATTTGTAGTATATGAAATCTAACCTCATGCTAATATTATTACAATTTAATAATAAATTTAAAATTCATTTTAAGTTGTTGAAACCAGGAAATAATAGATTTCTAAAGGCTAAAATCTATTTCAAAAAAGAATGTAATGACAAGAATTGGGAAGTTATTGTGTTTGATTTAAATATTTTAGAATAGAGAAATTAGAAGTAGAAAAATTTCAAAGTAGAGAAAAGGAAAGCCATTGTACTTGAGATGGAAGTAAAATTATTTAAATTTTTTTGTCTGGTAATTACCAATTTCTCCTATTAAAATTAGGTAAAATGTTCTGAGAAGAGATAGGCTTGGACAAACTTTCATTTAACTCTTTGATAAATATTTTTTTTTGCAAGTAATTGTTGTTGCTGTTGTAGATACAGTTACAGAACATGAATTCTAGAAAAGAGTTTTATGTACCTGTTCAACGATGGTTGGCACAAGATCAAGAGGATGGGGGAATCTGTCGAGAATTTCCTCTTTTCAATAAAGGACAGTCCATCCTTCCAGGTAGGAAAATCCAACTACAAGCAGTACAAATAAAGCTTTCCTAAATTCTGTAGAACAGCAATTAAATAAATGCGTGTTGAATAAGTGAATCAATGAATGAATGACTAAGCATTACTAGTTTATTTCAATTACCTCCTGTGGTTTAGTATCTGCATCTAAATGTTTGTCAATCATTGCACATGTTGGTATTTAGGAATATGTTCTTGTTACAGCCTTGTAGGAAAATCACCTGAAATTCTTCCCAGTCAGAACAATAAATTAGTTCTTTGAAGGTCAGGAGAAAATTGAACATCAAATTAAGTAAAGGGCTAAGAAATGTGAGTCAGTGTGTACATTTTTGGGTGAGCTCTCCCTTAATTTTGAAAATTTATCTCTGATCATGAACAGAAAGCAAAATTGTTAAGTTACTTTCTAAACATGTGGCCAGAAGCATAGAGTGTTTAAATCTTATTGTAAATGTTACTAAGAATAGGGTCTTGGGGTTAGGTAGTAACTGTTTACCACCATATGGACTCATTAAAACTTGTCTATAATAGCTGGCACTCTTGAGTATACTAATCTCTAATTTGGAAGGGAATGGGACAGTAATATGAGAATTAGTAAATGGACAATTGGTAAAAATGATTTTTTTGTCCAATTTAGGCTGTGTCCTCTCTAATAGGATATATTAGTTTTCTAAGAAAAAATAATAAAAAATACTATCTAAGGTTAGAAAATCTCCACAGTATCATAAGGTCTAACATTAGACTTAGGCACATACCAATTATTGTAACTTTTTGATAGAACATAGTTTGTTAAAATATTTTCGCAGACTGATAATTCCTTTGTGTTTTAAAAATAAGGTATACTAATAACTCTTAAGTTTCTGAGGCTAAGATTCTTTGAAAAGACATAAATAGCCATCGTTACCAAAAAGTTAGGCTTGAAGGAGAGTTATTTTCACTATTCAAACCCTTTTCTCACCACTTATAAGCGTTGTTCTTACCATTCTTCCTTATCAGCTCTCATGCATTGCCAGCTCACCAGATTCCCTATTTCTACCCATTGTTAGTAATGATGCAGAAAAACTTTTAGTTTTTCTTCCCCCACTTTAATTATAAAATCCTGATCAAAAGAGAAGTACTCTGCAAATGCATACTGGTTTTCTTTGCCCTGCCTCTACTGCTTGTTACTCATTATTTCTTTCCACATGGCTTCATAGTCTAAGCAGAAGCTGTCATGTGCTATCTATAAACTTGGCAAGTCTTTGGTTATCTGGGTCAGGGATAGATAAAGTAATTGTTAACTTGCCCTAGCCATATTTTAAAAAGTGTTATAGTAATGATTGATTTTGTGTCTGAAATGATGCCATTATATTCAAACAAAAGCCTTCCCTAGAAGTAGATACTAGAGGTAGTACTGAGGATGTAAAGAAAGAAGACTAAGTAATGTTTTTTTCTATATATATTTTTTTCAGCCCATAGAGAGTGTTAGTCATAACAGGCAAAAGGAATTCTAAAAATATTTTGCTTTACCAGTACACTACTGTGTACCTGAAAAAAAACTTGGTAATTATTAAATTATTTTCCTTAAGAGGATAAGGATTGCTAAGAAAACTGAGCAAAAGTGGCCTCTCCCAATTTTTGTGAGCTATTCTAATTTTCCCATTCCCAGGTCTTGGATTTTGAGGTGCCTCTAAACTGTTTTCAATTATACATTTCCACTACCATTGCACAGAGGTTGCAATGTCTCTCCATATTTCTGGCAACACTTACTTTCTCTTCTTTTAATATTGGCCATCTTAATGGGTGAGCAGTAGATTTTTAATGTAGTTTCTATTTGTGTTTCTGTAATAATTAGTGATGTTGAGAGCTTAAATGCTTGCTATCTATTTTTTGGTTTTCAGGGGATTACCTTTATTCAAGTCCTTTATCCATTTTTCTAATTGGGGTGTGTCTGTGTGTGTGTGTGTGTGTGTCGTTGACTTGTAGGCAGTTGCTTTTATTTTCTGGATATTAAGTTTGTGGCAGAAATACTTTGGTAATGTTTTCTGTAATTTCACTGGTTGATTGTTTATACTATTGATTGTCTACTTTTGTGCATAGGGTTTCTTAATTTCAATATAACTTCCATTTGTGTATTTTTGTTTTTGATATCTGATTTCATAGCTGGATCCAAGAAATTATTGCTAAATTTGGTATCCTGAAATTTTTTTTACTGGAATTTTATGATTTTATGCCTTAAATTTTGGTCTATTTTGAGTTAATATCTGTATATATGAGATGTGATTCAAAAACATGGTGAATAGTTTAAAAATTATTATAGAAAAAGACATTGCAATTAATTCCCATCAGAATATTTCCCTTCACTTTAAACATCATTCTTGCCAATTTCTGAAGCAATTCTGGAAGTCCTTCTTTGTGTCTTTAGCTGCACTATCATGGATGCCTCAGTGGCCTGTGTTGATTCAAAACATTAACTTTTCATGGTCATTTTGACTTGGGGGTACAGCTAAAAGTTATAAAGTAGCAGCAGACCCGATGAGTAAGATGGGTGGGACACATCATAATATTTTTAGGAACTTTCTTTTTCATTGGATGGCAGCTGGCAGCAGCATTCAACATAGTTTTCATCACATCTTATAAGAGGACTGATAGAATTGGCTCAGAAAGTGGCAAAGAGAACTAGGATAAATGAGGAGAAGTATTTTGAGGGGAATTAATGGCAGTGTGTCTTTTACTGTATTACAAACTTTAAATTTAAACATTTACCATATGTTCATCATACCTTGCAAAATAAGGTTCCAATATCATTCTTTTGCAGGTGGACATCCAATTTGCCCAACACCTTTTGTTGAAGAAACTGTACACTTTTCATTGTATATTTTTTTCATTGTATGGTTTTTGACACTGTTGTTGAAATTATCTAACCAAGTCTTTAGAGGTTTACTTTTGGGCTCTCTATTCTATTCTGTTCTATGGGGTATTAGTCTTTATATTAATACCAGTCAGGTTTTTCAAGATGATTTGACACTCCATATGTATATTATAATAATTTTAAAATTTTTTATGTTAAAATGTTGGGATTATGATAGAGATTATATTGAATCTGTAGATTACTTTGGGTATTGTTGACATTTTAACTGAAGTTATTTATTTATTTATTTATTTATTTTTAGTACCGGTGATTGAACTCAGGCCCTTGGGCTTCTGAGGCAGGTGCTGGAACCACTGAGCTAAGTCCCTGGCCCTAACTGCAGTTAATAAATAAAGGATGTTTTTCTATTATTTTTAATGTTCTTTAATGCTTTTAATTGTTTTTTACTTTTCAGTGTACAAGCCTTTAATTATTGACTTTGTTAAATTTAGTCCTAAGTACAGTACTAACCTTTTTTAGGCTATTGTTAGTGCAATTATTTTCTTAATTTCTCTTTTGGATTGTTTAGTAATAGTATACAATAATACAATTACTTGAGTAGTGTTGGTTTTGTTGTTTTAACAATTTTTTTTGTGTATGAATCCTTAAGGTTTTCTACATATCAGTAAAGAGGTCATTTTACTTCTGATTTAAATGTCTTCCTAAAATATTATCTTGTCTCATTGCTTTCATTATAATTTCTACTACTATGCAGAATTAATGTGTCCAGAACAGATATCCTTTTCTTTATTCTTAGGGGAAAAACTTTCAGTCTTTCACAGCTGAATGTTATGTTAGCTGGAGACATTATATATGTAGCCTTTATAATGTTGAAGTGGTTTCTTTCTAAGTTTGTTGAGTTTTTCTAATGAAGGAAGGATACTGAAATTTTAGAATGCTTTTTATTTTTGCACTAATGAGATGATTATGTGATTATGTGGTGTGTGCCTTTAACTCTATTGATGTATAAACCCAGCCTGGCTATGGTGTATACGCTGGGGTTAGGGAGGCATGTAGGCATGTTAAATGCCATACATTTTCCTACTTTCTTCAACAGGTTCCTCTTGCTTTTGTACAAAGCCTTTTGCTTTGTAAGAACCTTTTACCTGGCTGGGCATAGTAGTGCACACATGAAATCCCAACACTCTGGCAGGCTGAGGCAGAAGGATCATAGATTCAAGCCCAGCATAGTCCACTTAGTGAGACCCTTTCTCAAACCACCCCCCAACCAAAAAATCAAAACCCAAAACACCTCCAATAAAACCAAATCCCAAACCCCTGTTACCTGATATCTATGATTTTGAAAAAGGTGTTTTATCCAGCTATTATTTTATGATGGTGTTTCTCTGGGAGAAAGTGGGTCTGGGGCTTCCTTTTGCACTATCTTGCTGTCCTGTGGGAGATATTAAACAACTGTTTTGTGTTTCAGTTTATACAGTTCACCCTTGAATGGATGTGTCAATTAGGAAGACTGAAGTACACTTTTCTTGTATATTTATTTTCTAAATTCTTGCATGGAAAAATAAATGTAACGTTCCTCTGATTACAATTACATGAAGGTGATAGACCACTGTTACTCTGCTCCCTCTTATCCATTTTCTCCTAATATTTAGCAATGCTAGATATTTATCTTAAAAAACTAAGAGTGAAATTTTTGGCAGAAAATACAAGCATACCCCATTTTAATGCACTATTGAGTTTTTTACTGATGGTTTGTGGCAATTTTGTGTTGTATAAGTCCACAGGTACTCTTTTCGCAATATCTTGTAATTAGAATTACAAGCTGACCTAAATATGTGACTGAACTGTTGCAATAAAATCTTTAAAAGATAAGGGACTGATTGGTATGGATGAGGTTAAAAAAAGGGCTTACTGAGATGAAATTATTACTGGTGAACATGCTTTGAACATTGTTGGAAATGACAAAAAAGATTTAGAATATTATATGTTTTGGTCGATAAGCAGCAGGTTTTGAGAGGACTGCTTGGGGAAAGTGCTCTCAAATAGCATCATATGCTAAAAAGCAATCTTTTACGAAAGGAAGAATTGATGGATATGACAAAAACTTCACTATTGTTTTATTATCATCATCAAAGTAAAACCTA